AATTTTATGCTTTTGGTTTTTTCTTATTTGGAATTTACCTGCGAAAAAAATTCTTATTTTCAAAACGAATTTCTTTAATCATTTCATGGATCGTTCCAACAGTTGTTCACTTAAATATTGTGTTATTCTATATCTACTTACTTTGTACGAGTATATTTAAAAAATCTACTTTTCACATGCATTTAATCACTTCGTGTATTCCAAACTTAGTTTTAATTTGGTGGATGAAAATCAGTAGAAAAGGAATTGATTCATTGATAGATTCATTGGATGACATTGAACATCATTTGAGAACATTCATTGGAGTTGAGATCCACATTAATAAACTTAAACGTACATTGTGTATTAAATTTGCCATATTGGTATTCTCTATTAGTGTAGTTTATGTTTTTAAAACGTTCATAGAATCGTTGGTTCTTTTTCCAACAATAGACATAGTTATTTCATTATTAAAGATGTACAAGTGCTGGGGCATGTTTTTCTTTCTCATTTTTGTTGACTATAATGGATTTTTGCTATTTTCATTGAATCAACATCTGAAAAAATTGCAGTGTAATGTTCTTTATGCAAGGTTTTTGATATGCTTGTTACGGCACATACAGACAGTGTTTTTTGAAATACACCAAAATGTAATAATCATAAATTCAGTGTTTGGATGGTTTTTGGTGACGATCTTTTTGAATCATTTTACTATTATGGTAACGTCTATATTGTCTATTTTCATGGGATCAACTGGAGGATGGACAAATGGATTGGAAATCATACGTAATTTTTTATATTTTTTATCCCACTTTTCGATTTAATGATTCGAAATAAGTTCCATCGAATGAGCAAATGATAATTATCTAGTCTTCTTTGATAATAATTGCTCGATCATTTATTTATGTATTTCTCGACTAATATTTGGATAGAAGTAATTTTCTACATGATTTATGTGATATTAATGTACTATATTAAGATTAATAATATTCTCGAATGCAATCATTTCCACTCCCACCCCGCAAATTTTGTCAAAACATAATCTCTCAATTAATTTTCTTGAAATTGTAGTAAATTTTTGTTTGAAACAACCAAAAAATTTGAACGATTTGAAATATATTTGGATTTGGAATGTTTCAGTTATCACTTGCATCAGCAAAATGAATCATATTCGTGAATTGACATCATGTTTTACAATTTTCTACGTATTTGGACAAACTTCATATATTCCACTTACAAGTGGAAAAATCAAGTCACTGTTTTTCATTTCATTTCTTCCAAAAAGCGTTCACTCTCTTCTGGTCGTTGCAACAATTTATTTTATTTCAACAAATTATTGTTTTGACCCAAAACATTCTTATTTTAATAATATCCTCATTTTGGTCATATCTATGTTTAATTGTGCATCTGGTGTGTTATATCATTATACATAGATATATCGTCGCCATTCACATTGCTTCACATTTGCAAAATGTTTGCCCATATCATTTCATATATGGAGAATAAGCTTTCAAGTCAAAACAAATTAATAAATCAACTTCGAAAAGAAATTCATAGAAAAATCTTCTACATACTTCTGATTGTAATAGTTCTTTCCCTTTTAAGATTCATCACAGGGGAAAAAACAGACCAAACTGTTGAAATTATTCTTTTTATGTTTATATTGATTTACAAAATTATGATAATAATGCACACAGTGTTATTCATTAGTTTAATCGAAATTATACTTTCAACGTTGATTAAAAAATTAGTTATATTGACCCAAAAGCGTATGCAAAGATTCTCAGTTTCATGTGTTTTTCAACAAATCAAATGGATTCATTACGGTGCGTGGAAAATGTCAAAATGTATAAGCAATCACTTTGGATGGACTCTCATTTGTTTAATCATCGAATTATCAACAAATATATGCTATAGCAGTTACAGAGCAATAATTCTTGTGAAGAATACTAAAGTGTATAATTCAATGTATTTGCTTCAATTTTTGCGTAATTAAGTTTGTCGAGTTTTTTTAAATGAGTTATATAGAACTTTCATTGTATGTAGAGTAGTAATATTTGATTACAGTTGAACAGCTTGTCACCGTTGTATGAAGCGTTGTTTTTTGAATCTTTTTGGCAGGGAGATATGTAGCTGCTTTTGGGAGCGCTAAATAATAATTAGTGTGAAATAAAAAAAAAGTTGGATTTATCAAATTGATTGTAACGCTAATATGTTCACTTTTATTAATTAGTTTATTATCATATTATTAGTGATTTTGTCAATTAAATAAGTTAATTTGAGAATGAACGAATGTAATGAAATGATGGTTATCAGATAACTAGACTTCACGTCAAAATCAAGTATGTCTAGGGTTGAATTTCAAAGAATGGCTTTCAGTAGGTCAGGCATTAGACTCTCTTACGATTTTCACCGTCGTACAAACAACATATTTCGTTAAAATGGAAACTGAAATTCCGAACAAATACTTATCTATATATTTTTTAACTGCGCAAACATTTTCTGCACCAAAACTTTTGAGCTGGAAATATCTTAAATGGATTCCATTAACAGTGCATTTTTTTATTACAATATTTTGCACATATAGTTTGCTCAGTTTTCAAAATCTATCTGAACTCGTTCGACTTGATTTTTTATCGCGCATTTTGACTTCATTCGTTTTGATTCCAAATATTTTAACAATAACTTCAAATATTACAAATGGAAAAGTGATGAATATATATAAAATGTTATATGACCTGAAAACACACATTGAACAACGATTTGATACAGTGTTTAGCTGTGTTGAATTCTTACGTGATCATAATAAGAAAATTCTCAAAATAACAAGCACTTTTGCATTGAATGCAATTTGTCGCACAGTCATTTTTAGTCAACATGTTAGACCATCAGCTGATGTTTCGATAGCATTTATGTATTTTTTCAACGACATGTTTGTGCTTTATCTTTTGTTTCACATTGATTTGCTTCATTTCATAATGGAATTTATGAATGCGAACTTAGTTCACATTTCAAAATCAAAAAAACTTAATGGTGTTGAACGTGCAGAAATGTTAAAATATGTAATGTTGGTGCATCATAGAATATGGGCGATTAAAATTTCGATTGAAGATCGTTTTGGATGGTGTATGCTGTCGATTCTATTTAAGTCCTTTATACACGTCATAAACAACGTTTATTGGTATTTCCAAATGGCAATACTTCATGGATTTGATGCAGTGATAACGATTCGTAAATATTATTAAATTAATTGTTAATATCTTGTGGTGTAGACTATTGTCGTGTCATTATTCAAAGAAGAGCAAGAATTTTGGGATTCATTTAAAAAAAATGTTAGGATTGAAAAGATTCCAAAGTTCTTTCATTTGTTTACATTTATTTTATTCAAAAACTACAGAATAAGAAGATTGTTGCAGATCAGAAACACATTTTATTAAACATTATGAACCTTTTATTAAATTATTGAAACTTTTTATCTTGCCTGCTTTTTACAAGCGATGAATTTATGAAATTTTTTAGAAGATTTCGCCAAAAGATTTTTCACAATTAGCGCAATAGTGATATAATTAGCGCTATAACAATAAATGTAATGTTGTTCGCCCTCTAGATCGGACAAGCCGATTTTTGATTTCATTTTTATTTAAATATTTGGACCCATATCATTTCATAATTCATAATGTACACAAATTGATTAATTTTATCAATTTAAACACTGTGTGAATATTTGTTAATAAAATTATAATAAATCGTATATGATCTGAATGACACCAGTCATTGTGTATTCAATAATAATCCATCAAATTAACTTTGGTTCGTTCACTTTGATAAATTATTCTGAATAATAAATAGATTTTATCTTTAGCTGATTTATGATAAGTCAGTTGGTGTTGGAAACATGTCAAATACTATATTAAATTGGAATTACTACAGTAAAAACATAGAATAAAAAGGAAATCTTAAGAAGGCAATATGAAAATGTTGTGTAATATTCACATTTTAATTAGTATAATGTATTATCACATGCGCAAGTGTTCTTAATTACGATTAAGTGCTGTTTATGTAAATAAGAGACCAATCATCACATATCATCAGTGACCAAATAGGGCAAAATTGGACAAATTGTTATTAGTATCTCGTCAGTTATTGCCGTCGATTTATGTCAAATAAATAGTTTAGTGAATTTACGATTGAATCGAAAAATCCGTTCGATCGGTTACCTGAGAAAAATGCAAATCGAAGCCATTCTTTTAAGATATACTCGGATTTTTAATTAGTTGGGTGAAAGTTGTGTCATATCGTCCGATTTGCAATATAAGCAACAATCCATTTTCAAAACTATCAAACGAAATATTCCACTTTTCATTTCAACGGCAATTGTAACAATGCTAACCGTCTCAGACATTTTGTTTGAGCTAAGCATTTCAGATTCTTCTCAAAAAACGACCAATGTCATTTACGCCATATTTTTTGGCAGCATCATTTCCATCAAACTTGTCGGAATTAGTCAAATGCATACTTTGAGGAAGAACTTACCTCGATTATTTGATCAATTCAGAGAATTGATTTGTATGACTGAATCAAAATTCGTGCTAAATACTAGTAAATTTCAAAATCAATTTCTTTCGGAATCTGCAGCAATTTTTTCAACGTGGTTAATTACCTTTACACTTAATATTTTAGTGAAATACGAACCGCATGAACCACACTCAAAGCTATTTGTTAATTTCTGTGTGACGTCAATGAAACTTTTGAACCGCATCACCATGTGCCATGTGCTTTTCTATGTTGTCTTTATAAATAACGTTATCGATTCATTCGTAGATTACGTCCAGCAAAGAACATTCAATATCAAATTTAAATCAATTTGTGACATAAAAACCGAACTAATTTTCGTAAAAGTCATACATTACAAATTGTACGAGATATCGCGGACCGTTAACATTATTTTTGGTTGGATTTATGTATCAATATTTACCGTAGAATTTGTAGACCTCATGTATCAACTGTATTGGATTATTCTACTAATGGATTGCCCATTCTACAACACAATACGTAATTAATTGATTAGATAAAAATAGTTTTCAACGGATAAACATATTTACGATTATCAACGCATTAGTTTTTATTAACAGGGTCAGTGTTAACATTTGAATTCGAATTAGAATCAGTTGAAGTGAAAAGGTTTTGAGTTGAGTGAATTAATTCAGGCGGACAATATGGTTTTTTTTCATGCAAAATCATTTTCGAAAAAAATTAATTTTATCAATAAGTTAGGAGAACCAAAAATTATTGATTTCAACGATTTAGTGAAATTTTACAAGTTTATATTTCCAATTTTCTACTGGGAATGGAATCTTTCAGCATCATTAGATCGACGAATGATAAAACTATCAGTATTCTTAAAAAGGCACATTTTTCTTTATTCTTTGTTGAATTTTGCTCTGATTTTTTATACATTGCCTTGGAGTCATTGCAGAAATACCAAGCACTTTGCATACGTCAACGCTGAAACGATTCTCATGATAAATTTACTGTCTACGCTGATTACGATTTCGTCGTCTGTTCTTCATTATGACAACTTCAATAATTTATGGACCGAATTGAAAGCAATCAATTATTTGATTCAAAAGCGTTTAAAACATAAAATTGATTTTCAAAAGTTTATGCGTTCATTTATACTATCAGCATCAATAACACTATTGATTTATGTGACATATGCGATGTGGAGATTGGTATTCAGCTCGTCTGGTGCCACTTCGTTTCAGTATCGGATCATAATTTTTATTCTCAAATTTGTTCATGTATACATCGAATTTCATGCGATTTTTGTCATAAGTCTGCTTCATTTTATGTACAAAATGGTTGCAAAATACGTTCAGTTTGCATATCACTTGGAACGTTCGAACCTTATGTTTTTACACATCAACAGCACAGTAGTTAACTTGAAGTATTATAAAGAAATTCATTATAAATTTTGGTTGGCATCCCGTGAATTAAACACATTTTTGGGTGTTAGTGTCGCTGCAATCAGCGGTCAAACATTTTTCGATGTGTCATATTCCATTTACTTCATATTTTTTTATTGGGAAAAAGAACACATTTCTTGGATGAGATATATAAGTATATACTATAAATTTGCTGGTTTTTTATATGTAGTATTTTGGTTACCAATTTTCTATTTATAGATAACTTTTTACAGATGAAAATGTGATATTTTATTTTTGTTAACAGGTCCAATCTGCAACTTCTTGAGTGCCGTGGTATCTACAACGATTTTGATAAATGCTTGTCACTACTGTAGCATTCAGGTAATTTCTTGGTTATTTACTGTTTGAGTTTATAAATTTCATCCATCTTCTTTTATGGCAGAAAATCGAATTGATCAAAAATATTGAAAAGCTCACGTTCTGGGCTGGCGACAATGAAAAGCTACACTTTGCCAAACAGGAACTCTTAAGCCAGATAAATAATCTCGACATCAGTATTAGTGGCAAAGGATTCTTCATCATCGATCGTCAATTTTTAGCTGGAGTAAATAGATTGATAAACGTTTTAAATCAAATCATATTTTTAATCGAGCCTTTCATTTTAATTTTCAGATGGCTGCCGCTTGTTGCACTTACATCATTATTTTCATACAGTTCTATTTATCTGGAAAATGAAAATATTACTATGCGTGTATTGATGTGAAAAATATTAATATTTTTTTTAATTGTGACAAACACAACTTAATTTTATAGATATACAAATATCAACCAATTGTTTATTGACGTTTTTTGCCATATTTGAAACACATATTTATTTTTAGAGATCAATTATAGAGATTCATCATGAATACGAAGTCTATAGTTGTTTCCCAACATGAGAGCATACAATTTGAAATGCTATAGCATATATGTACCAAGAGAATTTCTGTAATTGTTCGACATTGATGTGTATTGCACTCAGTTGCACTTATGGAATTTTGTAATTGAAGCTATAATAATGAAATCCACTATATCCTCATACGACTTGTATTAATGTATAATTTTTTTAATTGAATTAGTTCAAAAATAGATTTTCAGAAGTGTTGACAACAAAATTTTGCCTTTAAAATATATTTCAGGAAAAATCACGTGGTTTGTAATTTTGTTAGGAAAGGTAATATTTGTTATTATGTTCCTAATCTCATAGGACGATAATTTATGTTTGCTGAGCCTGAGCATTTACGACAAGTTTACGAAGTTTGTTTAATTAAACTCAAAAACACGTAATTCGTCATAAAAGAAATTTTAATTGCGGTTGAGTTAAATTACATTATCTTTTACCTAGCAACAGATTTCATTTTCATGGATGTTTTATACGTAGCTTTAATATTTCTTGTACAATTCATAAGAGGCTACGTTTTGACACTCACCTTGAGTTTTGTTACGGTGTGAATATAGTTTTGCTGAAAATAAATTACCAAACACAATTGAGTGAGAAGAAATGCTAATCAAACAGATAGATCACATATCTGTTTTCACAATTTGCCAACGATCGATACTTTGTAAAACACCTTTAATTGTCAATAACACTTAATATATGAAATACATGGTAATATTTGCTCCAACAGTTCAATTCATCTTAAATATTCAAATTGGATTATATTGTATTTGCATTCCCATTTCACAGGTATCATCATGATATGAAAACCTTAGCTTCAGAATTTCAGTTGAGAAGTTTTCAGCACTAAATGGAATTTTCTAGAATTTAAAAAATACGAACAAATTGTATATATAAAGTCTTGTATGACACAATGAGTTCAGTTCATTTTCTACACAGTAATACGCGAAGTAATTTTTCTGAACTGAAATCATGAAGTCAATATCTCTGGCGTTTTTGGTAATTTTTTTATGTGGCGAGGTAAGATCTAATGATACAAAATAAAAACGATATTTTTCATTCATTTTCTTTGTCGACAGGTGTACATCAAAGAGGTCACGGCAGATGTATCCTATAAGACGATAACTAAAAAATTTCACACTACTGCTGGTGAAAATTTTTGGGAATTTGAGTTGACGCAACTATTTACCTTTTGTGATGACAGCAACACCATTCCAACTGTTCAACTCATAGACTCATTGGTTGAAATAACAACAAAAACCGTTCTACCAAAAGCATTCAATGAAGTGGTGGACACTACCGATATGATGGAAAATCGAGGAAAAATGAATAGGCTATACGCTGAAATGAAATCATATCTCACTTAGTTTGCAACTCTATTAGCACCCCTCCCAACGGAACTCCTAACTATGTACAATCATTGGCAAAAGAAACCCATTAATCAGATGACTATGCAGCAATTGAACGTTAGTTTAGTCCAAATCAAAAATGAGCATACCCAATACCACAATTCATTTATCACTGAACTTAATTCTGCGTTGGCTACAAAGATTTATTTTGAAAATTCATCAAATAGTCTTGCAACTTCGTTGAATACTTTGCTCTTTGATACTCGGACTGTAGGTCCACAGATGGATGTTGAATTTGAGAGATTAAAGATGATCAAAATCGATTATGAGGCATATCAAACATTATTGTTGTCTCATCTTAATGTGGCTTTGACGGCCATCAAGGGATACTGTAAACACCGCGAAGAGTTAGCCAAATTCATAATGACCAGTTAAAATTGAGTAGTCAGTCATATTTTTGTGGATGCCTTTGCAAACTTTATAACATATGACATTTTAAATGTATTCGAATAAAAGAGTATGATACAGCTTCAAATTGATTAATTTTTTGAAATGTGGACAGTTCGTGACTGTTTCTATTTTTTCTTCGAAGCGAAAGTACTTCTTTAAGAGCTTGAAAAGCGATTGATTTAGTCTTGAAAATTGATTTTAATACGGAAGTTAAAAATTGTTGACCACTAGCAGAGAAAAAAAACTAAATTGTTGGTCGATGATGCTATAGTTGACTGAATGCGCCGTTTGGCATTCAATACGTATACAATAGTTTCGTTTATAAACGACCTTGAATATATAGAATATTAGCCGTAAAACAGATCGTATACAATGAATTCTAATTTATACTATTTTCATCCTTATTTCGTATTATCCAAATCAATAAAAGATCGATTATATTAATTAAAACAATTATTCCGTGAGAAAAAAATGGATTATAACTTTTCTTCGTCGATATATTGAATAATTCGATTGGTGTTCAACTTTTAAAAACTTAATTTATGTCCAAGATGTATATAATTGCATAATGTGTATAATAAATGATCGTATTATTTGAATGAAGGCGGTTTCGTTCGATCAGTAATCACGTTGACACCAATTTATTTGTCTCAAATGGAAACATTCAGAAAGTTGGCAGCTATTCAACGTAATCTTGTCAATTCATATTATTCGGAGGAGTAACATAGTGTATGCACTACGTATTGCAATTGTTTGATTGATCCAAAAAAAAAAAAAAAACGTAAGATCACGAAAAGTAAAAAATGAACACAATACGAAACCGATAAGTAATTATCTCATGTGCGATATAATAATAACCACGAAAGTTGCTCCAATTACAGGTATTCATCTGTTTATATGCGAGAAACCGCATTTTATTCATGCCAAAAGACACATGTTTAACCGATCTACCGTCTGATTTAACATTGCCATTCAATCTTACGTTTTAAAGTATGCATGACGCTGATTTTACATGACGCTGGACTCAAACAGCGAATGAGACAAGAAAAAGAGAACAGCACAATATTTAAAAAGAGAATATAATTTCAAGTACATTATACAAGAATTTCGATTGAATCACCTTGAAAGTGAAAGTCGCATTGTCTGTCTGGCAATTGTTTCTTGATAAATGCGATCAACACTTTTTTCTTCATTCGTTTTAGCACTTCATACATGGAAACGTACGCATTCTATAAATAAATTATGTAATGCATATTTGCACAATAAAAGTGATAAGAGTACAATACTCTGCTTGTGGTCGGCGCATGAGAAAATATATATTGTTTTCGGCTGAACACTAGAACAGTACGATGTATAAAAAATGGACAACATTTAAATTCAGGTTTTTCAGTCTTTTTCCCCAGTTTCACAACGAATTTATTTTGTATAAAAGCAGAACGAATAGCAACCAAAGACATCATTCACTCTTAGTCTTCTTTGTATTACTCCAAAAAGTACCGAGAAAAAGAACCAACATGTTTAAAGTAAGAAAAGTGTTTTGAATTTATTTTAATTTATTTAAAAAAATTGATTTAATCTTATCATAGTTCAGTGTTAACGAATTTCTGAAAGTTTTCATTTTACATATCAAATTATTTTATTGATTTCAATTTATTTTTTTAGGCAATCGTTATTTGTTCGATGGTAGTGTTTGCAAATGCAGGATTATTGCCTCAGCATGGAGTAGAATCTTATGAAGTGCATTCACCAGCCCAATATGACTTTTCGTACTCAGTTCATGATGGTAAAATCAAAATTTCTTTTCTTTTTTATTCGAAAAATTTATAAATCGTTTGTTTTAATTACGCTAAAAAGCTCATACCGGAGATGTTAAACAACAATCTGAGTCACGTCGTGGTGATGCAGTCCAAGGCAGTTATTCATTGATTGAACCCGATGGTAACAAACGTGTGGTGCATTATGCAGATGATGGCCACAGTGGCTTTAACGCTGTCGTAGAACGCGAAGGAACCGTACATCATCAACCTCAACAAGTTGCCGTTGCACATGCAGCTCCAATTGCCGTTGCACATTCAGCTCCAATTGCCGTCGCACATTCAGCTCCAATTGCCGTCGCACACTCTGCTCCAATTGCTGTCGCACACTCACCAGCCCTTGCACTTTCACACGGACATATTTCACATCAATCATATTCGTCACCAGTTGTAGCGCATCAAGCTGTTGCATCTCCAATTGTACAAGCCGTGCACGTTCAACAACCAGCTCTTGCTATTCAACAACAACACGTTGGCCAACAACTCATTGCCGGACTTGGCTATGCCGGACAAGGATATGCCACTCAAGGATATGCCGGACAAGGATATGCCGCTCAAGGATATGCCGGACAAGGCTATTCGACTATCTCCCAAGTGACTCATCATGGTAATGGTGGCTATCATCATTAAATTAAACGACTATGCTCTCTATTTACGGTTCTATGATTCTATCGTTAACGCGCACAACATTTGTATATATACAACATTTCAATGCACATTTTCTTCTAGAAACAAAAAAAAATAAAATTAATTTTTAGAAATAGCAAAAATATGTTGAAGTTTCTTTTCAATCTGGTCTTTCTACACAAGAATAAATTAAACTCGGATCATATCTTCATTCATTCAAATCAATAAACATTTATTTACATAATACTCTATACTTAGCGATAAAAGATAAAATTCAAAAGATTGTAATACATATATTATATAGAGAATGATCAAATGGATGTCATTAATAATGATTGTAGTGTTGGCCTGGTGTTACATATTTAACAGCTGTATGATGTGGATGTGGATCGTATTCGTATGATGGTTTCACAATTTTTGCAACTGTTTCAATTGGTTTGAAAAATTTTGGATGTTCCGGTTTTGCATAGTACTGTGGAGGAACCGTATATTGCTTGACTATTGGCGAAAACACCTTTTGGTGTACGGGTGCAACATATTTTGGTGGTTCAGCAACGATTGCCTCGTGCTGTGGGGTATAGTATTTAACGGCAACTGGAGCGACATGTTTAACTAATTCTGGTTCATAGACCTTTTTAATGACTTTGACATCGACTGGTTCACGTCGTACAACCGCATTAAAGCCATTATGTTCGTCAGCCGTATATTCAACAATTCGTTTAAAACCGTCTGGATCCAAAACTGTATAGCTACCATGCACCGTGTGTCCGTCTCTTTTTTCCGAATGACTTTTTACATCGCCGGTGTTCGGGTCATTCACGTCATAACCAAATTCGTATTGGGCTGGCGCATCATATTCAACATGCTTATATTCTGGCTCATAGAATTTTTTCGCATAATGATTATCCACATATTTCACGTGATGTGGTTCGGGATGAACGTATTTGACTGGAGCGGCTTGAATGTGTTTGTAAACTGGTGCAATTGGTGCTGATTGAATATAGTTTACAGGTTTCACATGTGTTGGCTCAATATATTTAACATGGGCTGGATGTGAATGATGATCATGAGGATAATAATCAACCGATACTGCATTCGCGTCCAACGATAGCACTGATACCAGCGCAATGAACAATATCTATTTGTGAAGAAAAAATAAGCAAAACATTTTATTATCACTTTTACGTGAATTAAATTCGATTTGAATTTGAAAAAAATTAAATCAAACTCACTCCACACTTCATCTCACGACAATAATAAAAATATTGACAAACTAATAAGGTCTAATGTTTGATGATTTGGTCACTTTGAATGTTGTTAGCCAACGAAAGAAATAAATGAAACTGATACAAAGAGACTGTGGACACTTCTATTTATATGAATACTCTGTCTAATTCTCCGATGCCGTTTTTTTTCTCTTCTGTAGTTTCTTTCCCAGTGCTACGCGAATACCATATCCCACCACATAGAGATATGATCTATATTTGGATCCTTTTGTTCCAACGTAGAAGTTCATGTAATTGAAAATGATAGAAAAAATATACAAACAACTATTAAGCAATCATTCAACCGAGAATGGGCAAAATTCAAAAAGTAGTAGCAGTGTTTTAAATTTGCTATTAGCGATTTGCATTCATCGACGCATATCATTTAGCTTAAACATCAAAGTCATATTGCTTTCATTTGCGGTTTAAGCGCTTACATGCCACCTTACTTCACTCACACGTACCGGTCACTCTGTTAAGTTTACAAGCACCACAATCTTTTGTTGGGGTCAGTTTTATCTATTTGTTGTTTTTCATGAATCAGACAATAATGATTTATAAGTTCATTAAAATGGTACTGCCTAGATACTACGCATATTTGATTCATTCATTCACAACTCAACATATGGCATTCAACCTTTTTTCTACTCCTCCAGCTTTGGTAATGAACTTTCCGTGTGCATTTTGTCAGAGATAATAAATGGCGTTTAATTTTACAGAGAGCAAACATATTCAATTTATAGGCCGCTAAACGGTTTCACTTGAGATTTAGCCGGAATAGTTGGGCTGATGTGTTTTTGTTTTCGTTTTCCGCTGACCATTATTCTCTACCTTATTTTTTTTTTAATTCATCAAAGTTTTTGACATGCACAGAAACAAATGCCGACCTAGACACTCAATTGCCTACGCGTTTAATAAATCTCACAAAAGAAATTCGCCAGCGATCGATATAGATAGGGCATGAGCTGTGTTTCTCTTTTCATACGAGATATGACATCTAGCTTCGAACCATGGTTTTTTTAATTTTTGTTTTCGACACTGTGCTTGTCGCTTAATCTGTGAAAACAAAAGAAAATGGGTGAATAAAAAACAAGAGCATAGCTTTAATTGACATAACCCCAAAGTAAATATGTATGTTTTTGTTTAACATTTAACCTAGTTATAGATGGCCTGTGGCAAATTACCTTTTTTGCTGTTCATGTTCATCGCGTTTAAAGCAATACTAATGTTTACCAAAGTGAATGAAGTGCAGTTTAGTAGTGTAATTGGTTTTTAAAAACGAATTCAAGAACGAAATAGTAATAAAAATGATTTGATAAATGTCCCGTTTGTTTTATTTCAATTGAAATTTCAAATTTGCCTTTTCATTCAATCTGAACATTCGATGCTCAATGTTAAATGCGTGTACAATAATTTACAAATTTTGAATCGATT